TATCTATCTATCTATCTATCTATCTATCTATCTATCTATCTATCTATATCTATATCTATATCTATTTATCTATCTATCTATTTATCTATCTATCTCTATCTCTATTTATCTAATTTGTCTCTCTCTCTCTCTCTCTTTATTTATCTAATCTGCATCTATCTATCTATCTATCTATCTATCTATCTATCTATCTATCTATCTCAAGGGTCTTCCATCTTGGCAAGTTTAAGACTTCTGGACTTCAACTCCCAGAATTTCTGAGCTAACCTGACTGGAGGAGGAATTCTGGCAGTTGGAAGTCCAAAAGTCTTAAAGCTGTCAAGTTTGGAGACTCTTGCCCTATACCATTCCAGACAAATGGTTGTCCGATCTCTTCTTGAAAACCTCCAGTGATGACGCACCAACAACTTCTGGTGGCAAGTTGTTCCACGGATTAATCCTTCTTGCTGTCAGGAAATTCCTCCTTAGTTCTAGGTTGCTTCTCTCGTTGTTCAGTTTCCATCCAGCATTTCTATTTTCAGGTCCTTTGGAAAATAGTTTGACCCCATTCTTCCTTGTGGCAGCCCCTCAAATATTGGAAGATGCTATCGTGTCACCCCTAGTCCCCCTTTTCATTGAACAAGACACACCCAATTCCTGCAACCATTCTTTGTATGTTTTGGCCTCCAATCTCCCTCCGGTTCCTTTCCACCACACCTCACACCTGCCGAAGCCTTTACCTCTTGTGCCGTTGCTACGTCCATCGCGGTGTATACCGTACCCGAAGCCCTGAAAAACAAAACAGAGAAGACAAAATCTATTTTTAAAAAATGGATTCCTTCTCTCTCAGACAAAGCCACCTCACAGGCTTGTTGTTGTTGTGGGAAAAAATCGGAGGAGGAAATAACATTAAACATGTTCTCTGCCTCAAGTTACTAGCTCGATACCCGTGCTTCGCTACGAAACTATGTGGTGGGGCTTAGTTTTTGGAGAGGAAAATAAGGGGGGAAAATTGTGCCTCTGCCTACCAGCATCCATCAGTATTCATCCGGCTAGCATCCTGTCAGTGTGTGAGAGAGCTGAGGGCTGTTTGGAAACTGAAGCAGTATTTGCTGTGTGAGCAAGGAGACAGCAAGGAGCCTGGGTGTGGCTTAGCTCAACTGTTCTGTACGAAAGGTGCTTGGTGCTGTGAAACTGAAACTCCTCTCCTCTGCTTGTGTTTTGCATTTGGAAGAAATTTCTTTTCAGGTGAGGAGGGGGAGTAGAACTCCTTAGCATCAGAGCATGTTAATAATAATAATATAGGAAATATTCTAAATGCTCTGATGGTCATTTCGAAAAATCCTTTCTTAGTGAGCCCCTAGAAGCCAAGAGCTAATTTTCAAGTTTGTAGGCTTTACGGTTCTGCAGATTTTGTGATGATGCGTGAGGGGTATTTTGCTTTTATATATAGAGATAAAAGGCAAGATAAAACTCTAATAAGACATCTGCTAAGCAGTTTGCAGGACTTTTATGGATTGAAATTAGCTCAGTGCAATTAAGGTCAACTCTCATTCCTCCCCCCCATTTCAAATCTTCCTTCTTTATTTTCCTTCCTCGCCAGCCCCCGTAGGTTTATTTGTGGGTATATGCAGCGTTTATGTGACCATGTGACAAGGGACAATAAAACTGGCTGCATGACAAAATTTGATTCCCACCTGCTTAGATGCCTTTTGTCTCAGTGACCTAACTGTCTATTCGCCCATGGAAATTGGTTCTTGGCAAGTGGAAAAACCCCGAAACCGATACGGGCTCTATTATGTGCAAATTCCAAAGATCGGCTCCCAAATCCCACAGAAACAGCCACTTGGAACAATACAAAAATTGGGAAGCAAAATCTCCATGGTTTCACTCAAGTCTGAGGCAGCAAATTCCTACAGGAAAAGCACAGTTCTGATTTAAAGTGTCCACATTTGGAAAAGTACAGATAGTCCTAGACAAGGAGTGATACGTGGGGCTTTTGCCCCACAATCAGGAGGCTATGAGTTCGATCCCAGGTAGAGGCAGATATTTCTCTCTCTCTGGTCACAATGAGAATATATCATTCTGCGGGACAAAACTCCGCTCTGGTGACAGGAAGGGCATCCGGCCATTCAAAGACTCTGTTAGTTCCCTTCAGTTGCCCAGATGCCACCCCTACAAGGGATTATGGGGTCGTTAAAAGATGATGATGACAGGTAGTCCTTGACATATAGCCATTCCTTTAGAGACTATTCCAAGTTACCACAGTACAGTCACCCATGAAATGTGAGTAACAACCCTGAGATTCCCTTGCTTTTAGAAAATAAGTCACAACTATAATCTGCTACACGGTCATTAATATTACAGAAAGAAAAGTAATTGAAGGAATTACAGTAGCTAATTTACTGAGCAAGAAAGAGCATTTCAAATAATTCCATTTCAACCCTTAAATACAGCTAAGTCCTCAACTTATGACCACAATTGAGCCCAAAATTTCTGTTGCTAAGCAAGGCAGTTGTTAAGGGAGATTTGCCCCATGTTACAACCTTTCTTGCTACAGTTGTAAAGTGAATCACTGCGATTGTTAAGTTACTAATCTGGTTGTTAAGTGAGTCCAACTTCCCTCATTGACTTTGCTTGTCCCAAGGTCACAAAAGTGAATCAAGTCGCTTTTTTTCAGTGCCGTTGTAGCTTAGAACGGTCACTAAATGACCTGTTGTAAGTGGAGGACTACCTGACCCAAAGAAGCAGCCGCTCACAATTAAAGACTTACCCTTGTCCAATCTTCTCAAAACTGGTATATTTCTTCTTGGGATCCCCAATGCTTACGATACCTCCTTTTTTAAAACAAAAAGCAAAAAAAAAATGAAATCAGATTTTAATTCTGCAGTTTTAAGCTTTTTGGTACTTGCAGACATGAATTCCTAGGAAATACAGTTAGTTTTCCGGGATAAAAATGTACAGTATGAAGGAAAAGTAGGGAAAATTCAAATCATGGGACTAAGACTTCAGTACGTTTTCCAATGTTGATATTTTTTCTGTTAGTGCAACTTGATCAATGCAGGAACTCAATGATAAAGATATTATTGAATTCTTTATTGTCGTTGTATGTATATACACAGCATACACATACAACAAAATTCACATAACATCCAGAGACCAGGCTCAACATGCACACACACACATGACAATCCCCAAACACCTCCCCACCTGGCAAAATTCCCCACCCCCTAAAAACACACAAGCATCTACACAACAGACCAAGTAATCCTGTCCAACAGCTCACTGATGGGGGTCCTTTAAGTTCATTGCAAAGTGCAATTATAGCTCTGGGATAAAAACTGCTCAGAAAAAGGTGCGGTCCGAGTTTTAATGGTTCTGTATCTTCTGCCAGAAGGCAACAGCTTCAGAAAGATTGTGAGCAGGATGGGAAGAGTCTCTGAGAATGTTCTGCATCTTCCTCAAACAGCAAGATGCGAAGATGTCATCCAGGGCTGGTAGCTGGAGCCCAATTATATTACAGATCGATCAGTTTCCTTCATTTTAAACAATGTATGGTACAAAACTATTGCATAAATATGGACAGGGAACTTCCAGACAAATCTCTTATGTTAAAAAAAATCCCTGCTCAAAGCTTTGCATCTCAAAATATAAGAAAAATATAAGTATCCCATCCTGCTTTGTTTCATCTAAGAATTTGTCCACCTTTCAATCTTCTGCTAAAAATTGTTCTGATGATTAGAATTAAAATTCTTTTATTGGCCAAGTGTGATTGGACACACAAGGAATTTGTCTTGGTGCAAATACTCTCCTCGGTGTACATAAAAGAAAAGATACATTTGTCAAGAGACAAGAATCATCAGTACAACACCTAATAATAGTCACAGGGTACAATAAGAATAGAATAGAATAGAATAGAATAGAATAGAATAGAATAGAATAGAATAGGAATACAGAATGGAATGGAATGGAATGGAATAGAAAATTGAAAACAGAATAGAAAATAGAGTAGAATAGAGAATAAAATAGAATAGAATAATGGAATGAAGAATAGAATAGAATAGAATAGAATAGAATAGAATAGAATAGAATAGAATAGAATAGAATAGAATAGAACAGAACAGAATTTTTATTGGCCAAGTGTGATTGGACACACAAGGAATTTGTCTTGGTGCAAATGCTCTCAGTGTACATAAAAGAAAAGGTACATTTGTCAAGAGTCAAGAGTCATCAGGTTCAACACTTAATAATAGTCATAAAGTGCTCCTTGTCAGGATTCCAGCGATGGCCCTAATTAAATCATGAAGCGAAGCTTCAAACAACTTCAAAAAGATTATTAGGAGCAACATGCCGGCATGGCTGAATGAATGAAGCCAACTCTGAGATGCTCCTGACCTATTATAGATAGTCCTTGAATTACGACCACAACTGAGCCCAACATATCTGCTGCTAAACAAGACCGTGCTCAAGAGAATCTTGCCCCATTTTACGACCTTTCCTTGCCACAAGTTGTTAAGTGAATCACTGCAGCCGTTAAGTTATTCACACCATGTCTAAAGTCCCCATTGCTTTGCTTGTCAGAAGGTCACAAAAAGGAGAATCACATGACCTCAGGGACACTGCAACCGTCATAAATATGAGTCAGCGGCCGAGCGTCTGAAATTTGATCACGTGACCACAGGGATGTCGCAACAGTCATAAGTGTGAAAAAAACGGACATAAACCACTCTTTTCAATGCCGCTGTAACTTTGAATCCAGATTCCAAGGAGGTCCGTCATAACGTTGAACTGTTGCTAAGCAGATTGTTGTACGTCGAGAACTACCTGTACTCCATTTTGTGAGTCTCCATTTTGCTTTTAGCCTTGACGGTCCTACCTAACACTCTCCATCTATTTAGAGAAGCAGAGCATCACTGTGATGACCCCAAGGGGCGTGGCACAAAGGCATCACAGTCAAATAAGCAAGAAGAGTCCCTTTATTATCTCCAACTTTGCCCTCAATGTCCAGGTAACCTTCTGGGTGGAGAAAAATTCTCCCAGGAACAGCCTTTGACTGCAGAGAATTAAGTCCAAAACAAGGTACGCACAAACTGTAACTAAAAATCCAAACAAACCAAGCTGAGGTAATTACCTTGGACAGGGCAGGAGAAGGAATTTCAGACTTGAAAGCACGGCAAAACTCACACAGTTGGGAAGACGCCAGGAACCCAGATAAGCCATGACGATACAAGATAAACTCATATTTGCTCCCTTTTTAAACTTCCCTTTTTAAACACTGTGTTCCCAGCTGCAGTTAAGGAAGGAAATCAGGACCCTTTCCCTCCCCCGTAAGCCACGCAACCCACGTTGCTCCCTTCTCCGTTCCTTCCTGTGTGCCCTAGAATAAAGGGGATGGGCCGGGCCTGGGTCTTCCTCTGAATTTCCTCTCCCTTGTTCTACCTCTCCCCTGCTCTGCCCAGCCGGCCTTTGCCCTTCCCCAGTTTCTTCCACAGCCAACAGAGCCACATTCCCACTCCCTGTCAGCTGTTCGCTCCTAGTCAGATTCCGACAGGGGCATGACAATCGCACATCACACCACAAACCCACTGGGAGACACTTCTGAAAGCCTTCAAACACCGATTGTGTGAAAGTTTGCACTTTGTATGGGGGAAATAGCTTAACACAAAACAGGAGGCCGAGCTCAGCTGAGAAATATTTTGGTCTGCAATCACAATTAAAAGACTACACTTCACCTCCATTAAAAGACATAGGTACTCCTCGACTTACAACCATTTCTTTAGGGACTGTTCAAAGTGAATTATGATCGTTTTTCACACTTATGATTGTTACAAGCATCCCCACAGTCATAGGACCAAAATTCAGCCGGCTTCGCACCCGACTCACATTTATGACGGTGTCACGCGATCCCCTTTTTTGCAACCTTCCGACCAGCAAAATCAACGCGGAAGCCAGATTGCCTTAACAACCGTCTGACTCACTTGAGAACTATGGTGATTCAGTTAACAACCGTGGCAAGAAAGGTCATAAAATGCGGCAAAATTAACTCAACCGATGTCTTGCTTAGCAGCAGAAACGTTGGACTCAATTGTGGTCGTAAGTTGAGGATGTGATTTTTTTTTTCCCCTTTCTTTCTTTGCCAACCCTCAAATGTTCCAATTCAAAACAAAATCTTACTTAATTTTTCCAGGATTTCTTCATCGGTCATTTTGGGTTTTTTCTTCTGTTTCTCGGCGTTCCTCGCCAGCGTGTCCGGGGGCGTGATGCTGTTTTCGGAAGGGGAGTTGATGGGAGAGGTGGTAACATCCCTGGTTGGGGCTGGCGGAAGAGGTTCGATCACGGAGCGGGTGTAAATCTGCATTGTGGGGAAGGAGAGGAAAAAAAAAAAAGAAAGAACAACGGGCATAAAAACAGGACAGAAAATCACGGAGAAATGGGTGGCATCTGCCGATGACCTCAAAAGCCAATCCCACTTAGCAAAAGAGCAAACCAAGTGCTAAAAAGGCAATTTTTTTCAGCCACTGTTTTATCAACGGGACCAAGTGGAGCTTCCAGCAACAGCAGCAATCTACCTTTGGTACAGGGAAGGGATTCAAATTTTTGAACAACTGGTTCTGTGGGTGTGGTTGGTGGGCGTAGCTAGGTGGCCTGGCCGTATGACTGGGTGGGCCTATTTTTTGCCTCCTGGGCCCCAGGGAGGCCTCGGGGGGGGGCATTATTGGTCCCCAAAATCTTCCCTGGGGTCCAAGGAAGCAAAAACTGGAGTGCAAGGGGGGGCACAGCATACACACACACACACACACACACACACACACACACACCCTGAGCCCCTTTTTGCCTTCCTGGGCCTCAGGGAAGCCTCATGGGGGACCCTGGCACAGCTGATTGTTGGAACAGCTGAATGTCGGAACAGCTGATTGTCGGGTGGAAAAAAATAGAAACATCTAAAGGAGTGACTGGGCGGGGGAAAACGCAGTCAGTGATGTTGGGCATGTGCAATAAGGATTGACCGGGCAGGTGGAGGGGAGGGGTGGGCAGAGAGGGGCGGGGCCAGCCAGGGGCACGATTTGCCGGTTCTCCGAACTGCACAGAATCATAACAACCAGTTCTATAGAACCGGTCTGAACCGGATGAATTCCACCCCCTGCTTCAGAAGCTGGGACTGTGGTGACAAACAACAAGGGTTATTGCTCCTTCTGTCTTAAAAATGCATATATATGCTCTTCTAACCCCGGTATAGGTAGTCCTCAACTTACAACATTGGATTTAGTGAGAGGTTGAAGTTACAATGGCATTGAGAGAAGTGACTTTCGCACATAACGACCGCTGCAGAATCCCCATGATTACGTCATCAAAATTCAGACGCTTGGCAAATGACTCATATTTATGACGGTTGCAGTGTTACGGGGCCATGGGACAAGCAAAGGGGAGGACAGATTCACTTAACAACTGCAGTTCCTACTGAATGACGTGCAGCTCAGCAATTGTGGCAAGAGAAGTTGTAAAATGGGGCAAAATTCACTTACCCTTGCTTAGAAATGGAACATTTGTGCTGAATTGTGGTCATAAGTCAAGGAAAACCTGTGATTCCCTGGCCAACTTCCTTCTTTTTTACAGAAAATTATTCAAATTTTTAATTATCTCTCAGTTTTGAGAGAATGCTGCATCTTTGTTTTCTCCCTTCCTTAGTTTCCCCTCATTAAAATCCTCAACTTACGACCACAATTGACCCAAAAAATGTATGTTGCTACGCAAAACATTTGTTAAGGGAGTTCTAAGACCTTTCTTGCCACCATTGTTATGCCAATTGCAGCAGTCTTTAATGGTTTCCCCACTGACTTTGCTTGTTACAAGGTCACAAAAGGGGATTGGTCACATGACCCCGGGATGCTGCTACCATCATAAATATGACTCAGTTGTCAAAACCGCCAAATTTTGATCATGGGATCATGGCAATTTGGGAATTCACTTTTTTTCAGTACCGCCGTAACTTCAAAAGGTCACTAAACGAGAACTGGTGTATGTCGAGGACTACAGGTAGCCCTCAACGTACGACCACAATCAAGCCCAAAATTCATGTTGCTAAGTGAGACATTTGTGAAGTGAGTTTTTGCCTCATTTTACAACCTTTTTTTTGCCACGTTTGTTAAGCGAATCAGTGCAGTTATTCAATGAGTCACACCATTGTTAAATGAATCTGGTTGCTCCATTGACTTTGCCTGTCGGAAGGCTGCAAAAGGGAGCACTGCAGCCGCCATAAGTACAAATCAGTTTCCAAGCCCTCCAAATGTAAATCACGTGATCGCAGGGACATTGCCACGTGGTCGTTAAGTGTGAAAAATGCAATGTCATTTCCGCCCCCAGTGCTGTCACAAGTTGGAACGGTCACTAAGCGAACGGTTGAATGTCGAGGAGTACCTGTTTTTCAGTGGTGGGATTCAAATACTTTAACAAACCGGTTCTCTGCCCGAATGATTTCTTCCAACAACCAGTTCCCCAAACCGCTCAGAAAGTTAACAACCGCTTCTCCCGAAGTGGTGCGAACCGGATGAATCCCACCACTGCTGGTTTTTTGTACAAAAACCCATTTTCACGCATTTTATGACTCCAAAGGAGGAAGAGAATCACTCACCGACTTGGTGTGTTCGGGCCGAGGGGCGATGACCGGTGGAGGGAGAACTTCGTCCTCATCATCATCCTCATCTTCCGACACAGAGGGCACTGCTGGCGTTTCCGACACGGCCTTCACGTTCTGCGTGGAAACAACCCTTGTTTAATTTTTTTAAAATTTCTCTTATTCACGTATTCATTTATTTCTATTATTTCGCAGCTTTTGCTCAGGACCTGAAGGAAACGTTAGGGACAATTGTTCACAAAATGGCTGCCGACAACAAGCTTTGAAGGGCTGAGGATGGACTGGGCTCCCCGTCCAGCGATTCTACCCCTTAGGCCGGACTGCCATTTTCCTCCAAAAGAAAGAACGTGCTTTATGTAGGCAGTCCTCGACTGTTGCTAAGCGAGGTGGTTGTTAATGTGAATCGCATCCAATTTTATGATTTTTTTTTAGCCATCGGGAAACCCGATTTGCTTGACAACTGTGTGACTAAATGAACAACTACAGTGACTCACTTAACAACTATGGCAAGAAAGGTTGTCAAACGGAGCAAAATTCACAAATGTCTCACTTAGCAACAGAGATGATGGTCATAAGTTTAGGACTACCTGGAATTGGTCCTGGATTGAAAATCCACATTTGTTTCTTAGTAGCATCACTTGTGAAGCAAAACGGAGCAAAATTAACTTCATAAATGTCTCAGTTAGCAACCAAAATGGTGGTCATAAGTTGAGGACTACCTGGAATTGGTCCTGGATCGAAAATCCACTTACAACTATTCGTTTAGTGACTGTTCAAAGTTACAACAGCACTGAAAAAGGAGACTTATGGCCATTGTTTGGGAGATTTTGTGATGATGCGTGACTGATATTTCGCAGATAGATAGATAGATAGATAGATAGATAGATAGATAGATAGATAGATAGATAAATAGACAAATAGAAGATAGATGATAGAGAGAGAGAGAGAGAGATGATAGATAGATAGATAGATGATAGATAGATAGATAGATAGATAGATAGATAGATAGATAGATAGATAGATAGACAGACAGACAGACCAACCCTGTTTTTTGTCCTTATTCATCCCATTATCCCAGGGCGGAAGGACAGCAATAAACATTAAAATAGCTGAAATGGAGTTAACCAGAAAAATATGATTCTTGCAGATTTTCTTAAGACTTCGTTGGCAACTTGGAAGAGAAGAGACTACATGGGTTTCTTCCCAGCTGAGAATTTCACATGAAACAACCTGAAACTGACATTGCTGGTTTAGATGTGAGACAGGGCATTCGCACAATCTACAGTGCTGACAACTGAGGCCAAAATATCCTTGTCAACCTCTCACTTTTTCTCTCTGTGAGAAAACAGCCACTGGGAAAAACTAGCTCGTTTAAAAATAAACGTTATTGCTTGGAAGTGAGAGAACCAGATTCATCTGAAGGTGTTAAATACAGCATTTTTTTTTTTACCTGTTATTTTGGAAAAGCTGGGTTTTAAAAATAGTTCCTTTCACAAACATGTTTGTTTGGTGCTTGAAGATTCAGTGGGCTTTTTAAAAAAAATTGCATCAATAAAATATGTTCAGATCAGTTCTTTTTAGTCCTGCCAAATTCAGTTCTTCTCTTATTTCATGCCTCCTTATTTTCTACGTATACATGTGTTTAAACTTGAATTTATTTCTACTAACAATCATACAAGGAACAGGTGAAGTAAAACAGATAATTCTCGTTTTACAGCAGTTCATTTTAGTGACCGTTCGAAGTTACAACGGCACTGGAAAAAAAGTGACTTAGGATCATTTTTCACACTTACAACCTGGCCATAAGCGTGAAAAACGCATCCTGATGGTCATGTGATTAAAATTCAGACACTTTGGCCACTGACTCATATTTATGACTGTTTTATGTGACAGACTCAGATAGCCAATTGCAGATAGTTAGATCACTAAGTGAATCTGTGATGCTGTGAGCAACTCAATCTGCCTGCCTGCTTTGCTTGCTTTGGGGTAAAAGTTGCTCTTTTTTTCATAAAAAAATTCAATATTGACATACATGGTGTGTTGTGAGTTAATTTTGTGAGTTTGCTTGAAAGCAAATTTTACGTGACAGACTCAGACAGCCAATTGCAGATAGATAGATCTCTAAGTAAATCTGTGATTCTGTGAGCAACACAATCTGCCTGCCTGCCGTTATATTTATAACATTTACATACAAGCCACGCCGACCCAGTCACATGACCACCAAGCCACACCCACAAATTAGGCCACACCCACCTAATTGGTTAAGAAATTTGAAATTTGAATTTACATTTTGGGTTTCAGACCAAAATCCAGCCACAGAAAGGCCCTGGCACTTAATGCCTATATTCACACAGCAAGCAAACAAAGTTAGTTAAGAGCTTAAAAGTTATACGCACTCCTTCCATCAACTGCTAAATCACTTCGTTTATCTGTGTTTAACCTTTAACTGAGCCAAACGGTACATCGCAGGGCAGCAATCTTTGAACGAAGATACTTCGATACGGGCTCACTTGCAGAATGCATCCGAAACCCAGAACCTTTTGAGTCATGTGGAATTGAAATTTGGGGGATTTTATGCCAAAACACTATCGTGAAGGGTTTGATGAAATGATACGAAACGTCGAAGTGGATTAGGGGACTGGAGGTTAAAACATACCAAGAACGTTTGCAGAAACTGGGCATGTCTAGTTTAATGAGGAGAAGGACTAGGGGTGACATGGCAGCAGCCTCCCAATATCTGAGGGGCTGCCCCAAAGAGAAGAGGGGAGTCGGCCTGTTTTCCAAAGCACCTGAAGGCAGGACAAGAAGCAATGGGTGGAAACTAATCAATGAGAAAGAGAGAGTGTGGGAGGGAGGGAAAGAGGGAGAAAGAAAGAGGGGGGAGTGGGAGAGGGAGGGAGGGAGGGAGGGAGGGAGGAAGGAAGGAAGGAAGGAAGGAAGGAAGGAAGGAAGGAAGGAAGGAAGGAAGGAAGGAAAGAGGGAGGGAGGGAGGGAGGAAAGAAATAAAGGAAGGAAAGAAAGAAAAAAGTAAGAAAGGAGGGAGGAAAGAAAGAAAGAGGGAAGAAGGAAAGAAAGAGGAAAAGGAGGAGGAAAGAAGGAAGGAAGAAAGAAAGAAGGAAGGAAGGAAGAAAGAGGGAAGGAAGGAAGGAAGGAAGGAAGGAAGGAAGGAAGGAAGGAAGGAAGGAAGGAAGGAAGAGGGAGGCAGGGAGGGAGGGATGGAAGAAAGAAAGAAAGAAAGAAAGAAAGAAAGAAAGAAAGAAAGAAAG